CAAGGGTTGCGATTCCCTTACCGGTCAAAAAAAAAAAAAAAAAAAAAAAAAAAAAACAGAAAGTGAAAGGGAGCTTTTAAAAGCTCCAGCATTTCTCCATCCAACTGCTTTTCACAAGAGTTTGGCATTTGAGAATTGCTACATTTATGATGTTATTCACTGCTCATAATTCATCCCCTGTGTCTCCAAACTCCTGCATTAACACACACTGCAGAGGTTTCCACCATGACATTTTATCACCGAGGTCTCCCACACCAGCCAGGCTGCCTCTGGTGAGGTCTGGTTTCTCAGCCAATGACATGCCACTGTGCTCCCTCCTTCTATCAACCTTGTTACCCCAAACATTTTTCATTAACCTTGAACATTGCATTTCCATTTTCCCTACAGCTTTCCCATGATTTTTTTTTGTACTTTTCAGTTTTGTTCTCTATCCAAACTGCCTTGTAAGAAATGAGGAAAATATCACATTATTAGAAGAAACAGATCTATTGAGAATCTAGAATGCACTGAAGTTGGGAAAATAATTTTTAAGCCCAAAACCACTGACTATAATTGGGGAAACCAAAGTAAACATACTGCTCTTATTAGAGAATCCCACTGATTATACAAGTATTTTTAACTAAATCACCAAATAAACGAGAGTTAAGTTGATAGGTGATTTGGGGTCAACTCTAATTCCCAAGGTCAAGTAAGCCTTTGAACAGTCTTTAAGAATATAAGCTCACCCCAATTCATCAAAGCCGTCTCACACAGCGTTTTCTTCTCTTGGTTCTTACAATACTCTGAAGTTTAGGAGATTAAGTGGCGTCAGCTTCAAAACCCTCTAACATGCTTATCCATCCAGCAATCGGAAAAGCTGCTCAAACAGGGGCTTCCTAATGCACTTCCTAACTTTACAACAGCATGAGGAATGCCGCATTTGTTGAATGGCTGGAGGACGCCTCCCTAGGAATCATCAGTGTTGCGGCCAAACAAATTTACTGCAGCTTAGCTTAGACATTGATAATCCAAGTACATGTTGCTTTCATCCACAAAGAATATGTTGCATGTTTTTTTTTTATCTGTTCTCTGTTACCTAATGGGGGGGGGGGGAGAAGAAAAACACTCTTTCCTACAATGAATATAATGCATTTTGTTATTCCTGAAATTACTCAAAAAGCTGAAGTGAGTAAAACAGCAGCAGTTTGGCAAAATACAGCCTCCAAATTAATTATAAATAACCCCAAATGAATCTGACTGCATGTGAAAGAAAATACAACTAGACTTCAATGTTTCTCAGAACCACAAGATCACAGAACACACAGATCTCACAAACGCCTTTCCTCCCCAGTGCAGGGATCCCACTGACAGCACATCTGACCAGAAGGTGAACTGTGTAGATGCTGTCTACAAGTCTCTTGCCTCCTGCTTTCGCACCAGTTGGTGAGCAGAAACGGGGGAGGAGAACACAGACTAATGAGTTTTATTAGTGGTTAGCAGATTTGGTTAGGGTATAAGGAGAAGAGTGATAGGTCCAAATTAATTGTGTTCTTTAATGCTTTTTTGGCAATGTTTCCTATTTCTATTCTTATTTTTCACCTTTATTTTTCTTGTTACTTTCTGTTTCTTTGCCTATTTGAACTATCTTACCTTTAATTCATTCTATTCTCTCACTTTGTCATCTCTGTGCCTGAGTAGATGGTTAGTAAGCTGACTCCAAATACAAATAGAGGCATTAGTTTTCCTTTGTGAAGTGCATAGAAAGTGAAATTTTTGATATCTTTGTACAGAAAATAATAATCTTAATTTTAAACTTGGGTAAGAAAAAAATACAAAGGCAACATCTTTGGATTTATTCTTTCCCTCTTTTAAATTTCCTTTCAAAATGGGATAGGGGGCAATACAATTTTTTCTCACTTGGAAATTCAAATATCACAACACAGGTTAATGTAATGATATTAATGATAAGAATAATCAGGAATACATAGCATTTTATATATAACAAATATTATTCTAAGTGCTTTATAAATATTAACTTATTTATATGCTCACAATTCTACAAGATATGTCCTAGTATCATTTTCATTTTACAAATAAGGAAACAGGCACTGAGAGGTCAGGTACTGCTGAAGATGGCACACCAGTAAGTGCAGAGCCCAGATGTGAAGCTGAACTCTGGCTCCAGAGACTATATCCTCACTACTAATCTCTTTTCTTTGCTACTCAAATCTTTCTTTGAATCTAATGATAACTTAAAATCTGGAGATAGATGGCATAATACAAAAGTTGAAAGCTAAATAGCTACTCTAGTCTAAGTCTGCATCCAACTAAACTAACAAGCAGGCTTTTCTGTGAAGGCTTTATTTGCACTTTGTGTGTGGTTTGGAAAGTCTTCCATCCTCACAGACCTCTTGTGTTTGGCTTTGGGCTGCCTCAAGACTGAGGAAGCCAGACAGCAAGGCTGGGTTCAGCAGCAACCTGGGCTGGGCTGGGCTGGGCTGGGCAGACTGTGGCCAGATGGCACCGTCTACCCAAGGGGCTCTCAGAGTAGCTCTCTGGCTGGAGAAAGGATGCAGAGACACCCCACAAAAGGGCTAAAAACCCTCAAGGATATCGCTAATCTGAACAGCCTTGCTACCCTCATTTTGGATTAATTTGCATTTGGGTAGAGAAGAACTCATTCCTTAATTTAAAACTCAGCAAAATGCTGGTCAGCAAATATGTCTGGTACAATTTTCTCCTGTACTAATGGGAATATACAACTTCTACAATTCGTGTCTGACAGTTGAACTGATCTTAACAAATCTAGAGTATGGACTAGAAACAGCAATTTCTGAGAATGGTTGTGGACACATAAATACATTTGAAAGCATACATTTTGATGTATGATGGCACTGATGTAGCAGCTCCTTCTGGTAGAAGCTGAGGAGCTCTGCTGTCATTGTTTCATGTTTGCAAAGCACTTTGCCTATTGTGAACCCTTTAACTTGTTTTAAAAGAAGTCATTTTAAAGTGACAGGGTTATTAGGAGTTAGGTTAGTTAGTTGTGAGATTTGAAGAAAACTAGCAACACTTGCCTGAGTCTCAGTGCTGTTGCTTAGTGACAAACTAAGTCAGCTCTCCAGGCTGAGCTGATAATATATAATCAAATCTCTCTAAACATAACTAACTGTCAAAGGCTAGTATAAGTTGGGATATTAAAGCATTTGGAGAAAAGAATTAGGTCAATTAACAAAAATGACAAAGCACACAAGGGATCTGAGCCATTCTTCTGTTTGCATCCAAATTTATTACATTTAGAAAATGTGTGCCCTTTGAGAGGCATGTATATTTAGTTTCACATTCTTTTGCTAGATTTGTCCCTAATCACCTTTTGCAAAAGTAGCACATGTGTAAATTAGTATAGATGAGTAGTATCTGAGGAGAACCTTTTCCAAGGAAGCAGTCGCCAAGGCTGGAGACTGCTCCAGTGGTCATGCCAGGATCACTGGACACAGACTCCAAAGATCTAGCATGAAGTCTTGGTTGAGTAGCCTCGGGCCAGTGTTTGGTCCTTCTGAGCTTTATTTTCTTCTCTTCACAATGAAAATAACTATTTCTTAGACTTGTTATAGGGAAGACATGGAAGTAACAAAGGGGAAAACACCTTTCTAGTACATGGTGTTCAATACAGATTTTTATTATCTTTCTTCTCTGTCTTCAAAGGGACCCATGTTAAACATGGCACCATTTCTCAAACTCATGCTCAAGTCCCTGGTCAGCTCCACAGTCCTTCAGTTGAGCCTCTGGGACCTTTCTTGCAATGTGCTAGGAGTGGCATCTGATGTGTGAGGAGATGCAAATTCCCACATGCCCCCTCACTGGCCCTTTCTTGCCTCCAAATGGCCAAAATACATAGATGTTGCGGCATTGAAATTACACACTTGTGAAAAACTGATCTGGCACTGTTTTTTCCACCTTTACTGTTGCAGGAAACTTGGAACCTGGAATAGAATTTTACTGTTAGGCCCTGTAAATAATAGTTTGCCATGCAAACTTTTTGATTTTAGTCCATGGACTTATGAATAGGATGCCAAAATCTAAGTTGACTGTGAATATGATTGCTTTTTCCTTCTGCTTAAGCGCAAACTCATTATTAGATGGAAAAATGCAAAAATAATCTCAGGTTAGTTTAGAAAATAAGGCAAATAATGCACAGTTGTAATGGAATATAAGTATATGGCAGGGGAGAACATGATATCAAGCTATTAATTACAGTACTGATATGTAAAAAACAAACAACTTGATGGACAATCTTACTTTATCACATCTCATCAGCCCCAAATATCTCAGAGACTTGCTGCTCTGTGCAATCAGGGTGGCTCCTTGATCTGTAATCTCTTTACACCATCCAACATCCACAGTCTCTATAGTCATGCTGTATCGCCCGATGGCTATCAGTGCTGCAAGGAGGGACAGAAAGGAAGAAAGCATTAATGTTAGCAGTGTAAGGGATCTCTATCTGATTATGACTGTTTCTCTCATTTCCTCACTAAATTTGTTCCTGTAATGTTGTGTGTAAACGAATGTTTTATAAACTAGATTAAATTTGAAATGCTTTAAGAAAGCTTGCTCTATGACAAACCCTTTTGCAAAGTGAATAATCATCCCATAACTTCCCTTTGACTGGACATGACCTTTTATCAGTTTTACTCATTACAAGGTTACCTGTACTTTCAAATATTCATATCTGCAGAAGGAATAAATTAAAATGAATTACAGGCCTAGCATTACAAAAAAAACCCAAATACTAACTAAATTTTACCTAAGGTAACTTTAATAATGTATTTTTTAAAAAGAAAAATCCATGTAAGCACTATTTTGAGGTGTGTTACCCTGCATGCGAATTTCTTTACCAATGGTGTAATTTTTTCCATCTGCTCATGACCTGTAAAATGTAAGACTATATAATATTTTCACATTAGTCCTTCTTGGGACTGTTAGGAATTAAGACTACATTATACATACAGTTGAATTTAATTGCTGCCATGCTACAATGCAGTAAAGGGAATGCATTTGTTATGGTGAATTTCCTCACCATATCAGAAGTCTTCTTTCTGTTAACATAAAATGAAGCCTGCCATCTGAAAACAATGACAGTATCTCTAGTCTTCCTGGCTGTTCAGCATAGTTCCACTATGAAACTGCAGATGCTTATCCCATAATCTACTATGTGCACTACTTATCACTGCAAAGCTCCATAACTCATCATCCTGTCAGAGTGACCAATCAGTGAATGTGGCTCTTTTCTATAAACTTCTGATTTGATAGATATGCACACCTTTACATTTATGAAGCAGAAAAATAGAATTCAATATCTTCAGCCAGAATATGTTTATAGTGCTTTGGTTTGTAAATGAGAACCCTGCAAATAATAACACAAATATTAAAAAGGAAAAAAGAAATTGCTAATTATTTCCTTATTCTATGGTAGCATGAGTTGATTTCTGTGACATTAAAAACAGATGATATTTTCTGAAATGTGTTGACTAGATTGCTAAGAGTACAGTGAATTACTCATGTAAATGAATGTTAACTCTTACAGCTCTCAGAAAAATACACTTGGCAAAATCTCTTTGCTAATAAACCTCAGTAATTTTTTTTTCTAACTAGAAAACTCATGCCCATGCATTCCAGTATCAAAGAACTCCCAGTAGCAAGATATTTAATGTTTACAAAAACAACAATCATGATCCCAGTGCTTCCCAGTGAAAATATCACAAAGGAAGCACTTTTGTTTAAGTTCCTCATGCTATCAGCTTGTTAATGGTCTCATCTTTGCACATGCTGTTTTCACATTTAAAGTTTTCCAAGGGGTTGGGGGGACATGCCACATACTAAAGTTTTGCTGAAATAGTCTGAATAATATTTTTTTGTGTTAGGAGCAATATCTCAGATTAATCCCATTGGTGTCCCTAACCTAAGAAGATTTTGTTCTCTCTGGTATTGTCCTAACTTTCATTGGTTATGAAATCCGGAGGATCTCCTATAATAAATGAAGTAGGAGATACATAAAAGAAATTCTTTGCAACACAAAGTGCTCAAACTGTGATTTCAAAAGATGACAAAGCGCAAGTTGCTGATTGGTCCAAGGTCGGTAGATTGTGTACAGTTGTTTTATTGAAGTCTGAGGCTAGGACAGGAAAGCCCTTCACTATTCAGAAAAAGGTAAATAGGTAAATCAAATGATATGAGTTTTCAGGGTTTGCTTTGTAAGCAAATGAAGAATCAACAGCTATTGACTCTGGGTGTTAAAATCACTAGTGTGTCTGGTGTATTCTTTTCTTTTTTCTTGTTCAAATTAAAATACACAATAAATAAGAAAACTGAAGATAAATAAGGGTATTCAGTTTTTTGTTTTGACCTAGTTCTATTTACTCAAGTTAGAATTAAACTTTATTTTTCCTTAATTCACACATTTATTCAATAAGCACCTCATGAGCTCTACAGTATTTTAGCCAATACCTATTGACTATTTTCCATGTGCCAGGCCCTCGACTAAAATTTCAGATGCATTATTTGATTTAATCCTCATAGCAACCCTACAAAGTCTTACTGTTATTTCCTTTTGAAAGATCAGCAAACTGAGTCAAAGAAGGATTGAATGACTTTACTAGTGAATAACTTTCCTAAATAGTAAGTGGGGGAGTGGGTTTTAAGTTGGGAGCCAGCTCTCAGCCCTGGCTACACAGCAGATCTACTAAATCAGAATCATGGGCCAGGCACCAGGCGATTACAGTAGGCTATACCACCAGTGGAGGACTGTGGTGTGACACACTGGGCCTGTGCTGGTTACTTGGGATGCAAAGGCTAATGGAGCTCAGAAACCAGTTGAGTGGAGGTGGGGGGTAGAAATGAGGAACAGCCAAGTAAACAATCATAATAGCATTGATTGCCTCATTGTCTATCTCTTTCCATTCCTAACTCCTTCTCACCTTTTAGATCTCAAGTCAAAGGTCAGCTTCTTAGAAACGATCATCTGATCATTTACTACTATAGAGAATGTTATTATTTATTTGTTTACTTTTTTATCCACCCCCCCCCCATTAGAGCAACAACTATTCACTTCTGTATGCCAAGCACCTAGCACATGCCTGGTACAGAGTAGATTCTCAAAAATACTAATTGAATACACCAATGACTATAATGTGGTTAGGTCTATTATAGAGGCATACCAAGGGGCCACGGGAGCCTCTCAGTAGTCAGGACAAGAGGGATACCACAGATGCCCTCACAGAAGAGCTGAGCTAGGTCTTGAAAGATGAATAAGCATTCTCCAGAAAAACAAAGGATCAAAGGTGAGTATGTTGGGCAAAGGAAATAGCATGTGCCAAGGTAAAGAAATGAGAAAGGATGGGGGACTTCCAGGAAAATGGCAGACTAGAGGTGCCCAGGGTGTGTACCTCCAGCAGAAGATGATTGAAATGGGCCCACTGCCACTGCTGCTGCAGTCACCAGAGCCATTGTCCAGTTCCAGAATCATCGCCTATCACAGAGCAGCTCCCTGGAGAGCATCAGTCCTGAGGGTTGCTTGTCACTGGGTGGACTCCTCAAATGTGAGGGAGTTGGCTGCAACCATCACTGCCATTGCTGCCAAAGCAAGTTAACCCTGCTGCTACCAAGGACCCTGCAGACACAATGGAGGCAGTTGCAGCCAGCAGTCCTGATACTGCCCCCAAGAGTTGACCCTACTGCGGCCAAGGACACTGGAGACATGAGGGAGATGGCTGCAGCCACCACCATGAGAAAACCCCACTTCCACCAAGGACACCACAGACATGAGGGAGGCAGTTGCAGCTTCCAGCGCCACTGCTGCCCCATGAGCTAACCCCACTGCCACTGCAGACATTGCAGACACCAGGGAAGAAGTTGATGATGCCACTGCTGCTGCTGTGAGGTAACTCTGCTGCCACTACAGACTCCACAGATGTACAGACCACTGCTGTGGACACCACAGATAAATGTCAGCTATTTCAACTGCCACTGCTACAGTTGCTGCCACCACCAGTGCTGCCAGATAGCTACCATCCTCGTGCAAGTAACCTGCCACCACTGGAGCCACTGCTGCCACACAGGCAGCCTGTCAAAGCCATGTCTACAACCACCACCAGCATAAGGGCAGCCTGCTACCACACAGTAGCCACAGCATCCACTGTCACTGAGCAGGCAGATTGCTGACCATTCAACTGCATTGATACAAGGAGGGTCACCAGCAGAATCCAGGGAAAGAGAGTAATAGAAAAAGCAACTGCTCTACCAGATGACCAGACATAAATGTAGAGATAATAGAAATATGAAAAAAATGAGAAAATATGAGTCCACCAAAGGAATGCAATAACTCCCAAGTACCAGACCCCATAGAGCAGGAAACCTTTGAAATAACTGAAAACGAATTTGGAGTAAAAATCTTAAGGAAATTCAACGAGACACAAGAAGACACAGATAGATGACACAATGAACTGAGCAAAACTATCCAGGATACGAAGGAGGAAATTTACAAGGAGATTAATACTTGAAAATAGAATGTAGCAGAACTCATGGAACTGAAGGAGTCATTCAATGAAATAAAAAACACAACTGAGAGCTTAAGCAGCAGGCTAGAACAAGCAGAAGAAAGAATTTCTGATCTTGAAGACAGTCTCTTTGAAATAACTCAGATGAACAAAAAAAAAAATGAAGAAAATCTAAGAGAGATAGCAGACAACCTTAAGTGCACAAACATCTGAATCATGGGAATTCCTAAAGGGATGAGAAAGGAAAAGGCATTGGGAACATATTCAATGAAATAATAGCAGAAAACTTCCCAGGTGTAGTGAGTGACATGGTCCTTTATATTCAAGAGGCTCAATGATCCTCAAACAGATACAATCCAAAAAGTTCCTCTCTAAGCCACATTATAGTCAAACTGGCAAAACTCAAAGACAAAGAGAGAATCCTAAAAACAGCAATAGAAAAGCATCAAATCACCTATAAGGGAGCCCCTAACAGACTAACAGCAGACTTCTCAGAAGAAACACTACAGGCCAGAAGAGAATAGGATGATATATTCAAAATAGTAAAAGAAAAAAACTGCCAGCCAAGAAAACTATACCCAGCAAAGCTATCTTTTGGAAATGAAGAAGAAATAGTATATTTCCCAAACGAACAAAAATTACTAGAGTTCACCATCACACAACCAGCTCTACAAGAAATCTTCAAGGGAGTCTTCCATCTGGAAACCAAAAACCAGTAATCTCTACCATGAATACACAAGAAAGAACAAAACTCACTGGTAGAATAAAAATGCACACAAGAAAGAGAGAAAAACCGTATCTTACCACCCCCCAAAACCAATAAACAGCAAAGGGAAAGAAAGAAATGAAAGATATTTAAACATCCAAATGAAAATTGATAAAATTCCAGA